CCTGCAGATAAGTTAAAAAACTGCAATACCTCTACAAAATTATATACCACTTTGAGCCAAACCAGCAGCAAATTCTCTTCCATCATTCATTTCAGCCACAGCTTGAACAGATTGTTCAAAGTGCTCTATAAAACTAAGACACTGTACAACAGATGCTTTGCTGCCACTTCCTTCTTCTAACGTGATGCAGCATAGCTTGGTAGTTTGGAATGAGATCAGAGTATCAGTAGCAATACTGACAGCTTTGCTTCTACCTGGGACAACGTTACAGTTCTTTGTTTATTCCACTTACCACCTGAAACACTACACGTTCTTATGAAGGAATGGTGCTGTAACTGAGTGTTTCAGTGAATCCAGAATAAACCAGAAACCTGCAGGCTTATTCCTTTTCTTCAGGGACAATCCTGTGCTGTAAGACAACTTGCTGCATTCCCGATATTTAATGAGCCTTTAGTAAGACTGACATAAGTGACTTCTGGTTCACCAGAGCCCCGTGAATGTCATGGTCCATACTACAATTATTCTCTGAACCTCATCATCAATACCAGGAAAACCAGCTTAGCATGGCACAGCTTGTCCATCCCAGAACCAGGGATTAGATTTAAGACTGACACGACTTCTCCAAACCAGAGATGCTTTCCCAAAGGTTTTGTTTGTTTGTTTTAAGCCAAAAAAGGTGCAATATAGCATCTCTCCTCAAACCCTGAAAAGTAAAGTGACTTGAAGATAAAAATGCGACCATTGGAAGGTCTACTGACACCCAGTCTATGCTGGCACCCAGATAGGGAGTGGATGAGCTTCTGTGTTAAATACATATTTGTCAAGGTTGACTAAGTCTATGTCGTCTGAAAACAGCAGAAACATGTATTTGAGTGTTTCCCCAAGGAAGAAGCTCTCCATCTTATCTCGTGGCTCTGGATTACTGGGATTCTGGACGTTGTTAATGGAAGTATAACCACCTGTCGGAACCTGTGCCAAAAAAAAAAAAAGCAGAAATTTTGTAGATTTCGATAATCTAAAAGAAATTAATTTCACTTCTTAACATCCAGATGCACTTGGAGAAAATAAGTGCTATGAAACAGATCAGCGTGTTTTTCATTTCATACTTGTTTTTCATTGACATAGATAAACTTCAGTTATGAAAAAAATCTCATTGCATTTTAAAAGAAACCATGAGGATAAAATTAAGCAAAATGTCCATTTATGCTTAATTTAAAGAGGTATCACAAAGAACATCCCCTTGAAGTTTCTGGACAAATGTACAGAAAGTAACTAGTGCAATTTCTACGTTTAAGTTGGTCAAAGTACTATACCTATTCTCTTAAGAACAGACCATGGATATTTAATGACCACTGGCATCTAGGCCACACTTTTACAGCACATCAGAGTGGTATCTCCATAAGCACTGTAGTCAGAATGAATACAAAAACCCTCTATTAAAGCATTAATGCCATTTTGTGGCAATTTGTTTTTGGCAACTTCAACCAAAGGGTTCTTTCAATCCAGCCAGGTCCTTCTCAGCTTCTGAATACTAAAAAAGATCGCAGTAGAGAATCCAACAGCTTCCAAGAAGACGTAGAGACACTTCGGTAGTCTGCATACAGCTTCTGCATTTTACTTTTTAATCAATGTAATACAAGTTCTTTCCCTGAATGTATTAAGTAGCTTATCTCAAACTGTAAGGCACTGCATGAACTGAATTTTTCTGTGTGTTCTTACAAATTTCCTCACAGGTATTTTATGACTCTTGAAAGATAGTAGGTTTCCAAAGTTCTTGTTAGAGAGCAAGTGAGCGAATACAGTCCTGACAGAACAAGCTGACCTTACCCGTGTATATTTATTGAAGTTCTGCAAGATTTCCCAGCCCCAGTCTTGGTATTTCTTATCACCAGTGAATCTGTACATATAAAAAAGGCTTTCCACAGTTTCTGGTCGCAGTAAGTTGTGCCTGTCTGCAGGCTGCAAGAGAAAAAAAAGGCAAGAATAATTCAGACAGGGAATTTCCTCAAGGACACATGCAAGAAGAAAAATAGTGATTCCCATCTCCATCTACTTCAAAGAGTTTATTATGCATAACTCAGCTTCTAAATACACTACAGGGGTAATTAAAAACAAAGGCTAGGGTACATCTAGAAAGCGAGGCAGCAAAAGAACAAGCTGCTCCACAACAGAGCACATCACCAATATCCAGCTGGGAATTTCAACAGCAGAACAGAGATACAGAAGAATCATGGAATTACAGTTCAGGCCAGCTATCTGTTCACCTTGATTTCCACATCTCTGTGGCCCTTTTGTGCTTGAAGATTGAAGTGTACGATCTCCGGACTCAGGCCTGTCTCTACTTGAGCATACATCTGGTAACAGGTTTCTATAAGGGCTTCAGCCAATTTCATATGATCCGCAGGCAATCCATTGTGAGCTCCCAGTGCCAAAGTACCAGGCAAAAAGCAAACCAAGTGATCCTGCAAGACAAGACAACTCTTACTGGGGAAAAAATTACACAACAAACAGGTATTTGTGTGTATGCGTGTGTGTGTGCCTCTCTGTGTCCCTATGTGTGTGTCTTTTTTGTTGTTGTTCTTTTGTTCCTTCTTTCTCTTCTTCAAAACACATTTCAGGTAACAAGAACTTGAGGGTAACTTTTTAACAATCTGATGTAATGTAGCATGAGGCACGCAGCATTATTACAGAGACATCACTAATTTGGAAAATGTACAAGACTGTGTTTTTTTATGTCAAGTTTCTGAAAAAAAGGTCTCAGGTCAGGACAAGGGGAAAAAGGGTGTCTTTCGGTTTACCAGAAGTATACATTTCATACCAACTCATGAAGGGGGGGTGGGCAGAATCACCTAAAGGTTTCTCAATAGAGACACCGAAAGGGACAATGTAAGGGACAAACTGATCATCTGAATTTAATTTTAAACTTAAAAAGGAAGAGAGATGGGAGTCAGCCACAGAAAACAAAGCTTTGAATTCAATTCTGTCATATCTTGGGATGGGGGAGCCCCCTCTACCCAAAACCCAGATTCCAGTCTCGCTTACAAAGGTTTGGAGAGCCTTTGGGAAATTCATATGCAAGAATCACATGCTAAAAAACAGAACTGAACATCTCAAAAACACTACATCAAGAAACCAAACAAGTCAAAGGATTCACTAAAGCTCACTTCAGGTATTGAAAAAGTATGTGTAAGGCCACACATACATTAGTAATACACCACTCATCTTAAAAAAAAGCCACACACACACACACAATACCTGCACTTGCATGAGATCTTTAACTGAAAGATCTTAAAATGCATTTTAAAAAGTATGGATGCACAAATTAAGAGCAGGGAGTTAAGATCAATCAGTTGTCCCTACAGCAAACAGCATACTAGCGAACAGCATACTGTTTTACTCAATAACCCTACATGTAGGAAAAGAAACAAATGTCATGAATGGACAGAACCCTCCAAAATGATCAGATTTTTTTTTTGACCCAGTAACACAATATGAGATCACCTGCTTCTTTGGAAGGTAAATCTGAAAAGCCAGGTGGGCAAATATCCACATATACTTTTGAATTATGGAAAATAAATAATACATACAATAGGCACTGCCTCAACAGTTTCAGACACTGGAATTTTATGACCAAAACAGAAAAAAAGAGAAAGAAAATTTTACTCCAGCACCAAAATGTTCAGTCTTACAGGAACATAAACAGATTTACTAGAGTAATTCAAAGGGAAGGCTCCTGGTTTGCACAGGTGACTAGTATCTACAAACTAGTTACTCAGTATTACCATCACGCTGGCTATATATATATACAGTCTTGGCTTTTTATTGTTGTTGTTGTTGGTTTGGGTTTTTTTCTTTGGAGGAGGAAGGGGGAAAGACAGCAGAGAAGCTTTGCATTTGCCTGCCCATATGTTGATTTTATTTTTCTTTTGGTGGTGGTTTTTCTGTTTTCTTTCGTTTGTTTTTTTTTTTAAATGCAGTTGTACTTCTTACCATCTTGGCACTGAAATGGCCATGAGCAAGCTCTCCTACAAAAGTAAGCTTCTTGGGTTGTGATCTCTGAAGAAGATGCTTTTTCACTCCTTCTATGGCTCTCATATAGTCTTCCAACAGTCTGTGAATTAAAATCATTCCCAATTGGCTCACATACTAGCAGTCAGAACACATTTAATCATAGCTGATGTTCAGCACAATCCTTTCGGAGACCGTTATTTCAGTCTAAAGAACAATATTTAACCAAATGTGAAAACTGACAAAAAAACCTCAGTCACCATCAACTGGACATTAATTAGTTATCACTACCATGTAGCAATATTGGGTTTACTTTTCAAGTAAACCCTAAATTTAAGTAACTAGATTTTGTTTCGGGAATCCTTAGAAGTACAGTAATTGAAATCACAGAAAATCTAGGATGGTAAGGACCTCTTGGAGGTCTCCGTTTCAACCCTCTGCTTTGAAGCAGATTCAATGAGATCAAGTTGCCTGAGGGCTTATCTGAGCAATTTTTTAGTATCTCCATCCAAAGATGTAGTAGTATCTCCATCCAAAGATGGAGATTCAATGACTTTAGCAATCTTTTGCAATGTTTCACTGCTCTTTTCCATTGTTTCACAGTATTTAATTGGAATTTCCCTTGTTTCAAAGTACTTTCATGTGGAAAAAACCCTGTTGAATAATTCCATTTTGAGGCTCACAAAATGCCATTGTTCATGGTCCCAAAGACAACGGTTCTCTGTTTACAGTGAACTATGGCTTGGAAAAAGCAGTGGTGCAAACTTTCCTTGTAGAGATACACCTGCTCTAATATAAAGAAATGCCTCAGAGAGGCACATTGTTGCTCTGTATGCATTAAACCTCTCAACATGAACAAGTCCAACATAATTAGCTTATAAGCAGACAACAACTGCTTGGATTTTTTGTCTTGTTTTAGAGGAAACCTTCTTTTCCAACATCTCTAATTCCTCTGCTCCTTGCAAACATTCTCTTCCACTTATCCAGTGCAGATAAGAGAAACATAAGAGACCTAAAGCAAAGTTTACACAAACATCAAACTTCAGTCTCCTCTTCTTTCTAAGAAAAGTTATTCCTTATGCATTAAATCTCCCGCCTCAACCATCTTGTAGGATTCACCTTTCCCTAACAAACCCAGAGAAAACACAGACATTGCTGGTGAAATAAAGTATCATCAGTATTGCAGAAGTGTCTAATTATGCTCCATATCTACTGCAAAGACTTAATTATCTTCTCCTCTCTGTAACACTCCTCACATCTGATGTGCTGAGGAAGAAAAGTCTCCTGAGGAGGAGTAGTTTTGAGACCAAGCCTAATTCTCATGCTGTTTTTACATCAAGTTACCACAGGTCCCTCTTGCTTGCTTAGCTTGCTTTTCAAAAACAGTGATATTTTCAGTCAACTGTTGGGCACATATATAATTTTTCTTTAAGCAGCAAACTACAATAGAAAGTTTTACAGCTCACATAATTCTCACACCAATATGAGAAGTGGAAAGAACTTACTCGTTTTCTTTTTTCCCACCCTGAATCCATTGCTTGAGCAAATACTCATAGTAGCTGTCAGCTCTGGCTCCCAGAGTATAGACACCCAAGTGAGTGAACTGCCCGCTATTGGTGTTTATGAACATAGGCACTAGTCCGTCATTTTTCCCTGAGAGGGTGTGAACATGCTTCATCACCTCATCTACAGCTTTCTAAAAGAAAGAAAATAGCAAACATAAATTACAGGTATAAATTATGCACAAAAACTGTGGCTAGTAATTTCAGGCCAATAACAAATCTTTAACTACTCTTCCTCAAATTAGCATCACAGACATCAAGTTCAGCTTGTGCAATATATTAAATACAGGATTTCAAACTTGCTGACTCTCAAAACATGATGTTCTGGGTACATTTAAGTACCCTGAATTAATTGTAACTATTTCCTTTCCTTCAAGTAAACCCACTCGAAAGCCAGTACTATGGCACGGGACTATGATCTGACTTACTCATATTTGCAAAGTAGAAGTCCAGCTAAAATAACAACTACATGAATCAAGCTAAAACTTCTTTAAATAACTGCACTCTTCAAAACTTGAGCTGTGGATACAGTTTAAAACAATAAAACAACATCGCCAAACAAAAAGAAGAGTGGAAAATATTCTTTTCTCTGGCGTTATTTTTATTTCAACTAACTGTTCCTTATACTGTCAGACCCTTATCTAGTAAGTCACATTTTAGTTCCTTGGTTGGCAACACCAAGGTTTTGTTCTTTGCATTTAGATTATGGCATCAAGAAACCGCACACAGAATTCTAACAACATTAAGCAAGACACAGTTTCACAGTCCCCAGTTTAGCTTAATATTTTTTCAAAATCTGACAACCTGGTGTCAAACAAAAACATCAATGATAAAAACTGCGTGGCGGTGGTGTTTGGTTTGGTTTTGGTTTGGTTTTATTGTGGTTTGGTTTTGCTGTTTGGTTTTTTGTTGTTCGTTTGTTTGTTTGTTTTTTAAATCAAAAGCTGTTTCTGAGGGAGAGAAATAAGTATTCACCTCCATTACTACTTTTTGGTATTTAAGAAAATAATTGGAATTACTTCTGTTTCTTTTCCTTCCCTCATCTACACTTTCACAACTCATTTAACGTCACTTAGAGACTACAGAGACCACGTGTATTGTTGGAAAGTCAGTGGTGGAGCTGTAGAGAGGTGGAAAAAGAGAAAAACATCGACTGATTCTTCCATACCTGGAATTTGTCATCTCCAGTGAGACGAGAGAGCTCCCTAAACTCCAGCTGAATACTGGTCACCTCTGCCACAGTGCTGTCAGATGTCCAACGAGGTGGATGTGCAGTGCCCCGCCCAATGTTGACATCAGAATATGGTATCTTGGAGGGGGTCTTGAATGCTGGCATAAGCCTGTTCCCAATGTCTTTCTAAAGAAAACCCAAAAGCACAGGACAAAACAACAAACAAAACGAAAAATAATTATATACACACACACACACCCCCCTTTAGATTTTCTTTCACCAAGCAGACAGAAAAAGAAAGAATAGCAGCTTAGTTTTAGATGGTGCAAGAAAGCCAAGAATTAAAAAGGGTCATGGATTTATTCATAATGCCTACAGAGTTTCTACCTTGTTCCTAGTATTGCATGCCTCATTTGAGTCTGCAGTCCCTTGGGGGATTTCAGCCACCCCGATATCTATTGGAGGTACAACACGGCAGGGCATAAGCAATCCAAGAGGTTCCTGAAATCCATTGATGATAACTTCCTTCTCCAAGTGGTAGAGGAGTCAACAAGGAGAGGTGCTATGCTGGACCTTGTTCTCACCAACAAGGAGGGGCTGGTGGGGAATATAAAGCTCAAGGGCAGCCTTGGCTGCAGTGACCATGAAATGATGGGAGTTCACGATCCCTAGGGCACTGACTAGGGCACACAGCAAGCCCTGGACTTCAGCAGAGCAGACTCTGGCCTCTTCAGGCATCTGCTTGGTAGAG